TTCATCAGATTTCTTTTGGTTCAGTTCTCCAATTTGTCTGGGTCACTCTTGACTCTATGGCTGTTTGGAATTATTCTCTTTGATAAAAAACAATGTCTAGTATATAGCAGAGTAATGAATTAGCAGTAGGACAGGAAGAAGATAATTGGCTGTGTCTAGACTGGCAAGGTTTTCTGCAAAAGCAGTAGCTTTTGCGGAAAAACTTGCCAGCTGTCTACACTGGCCGCTTGAATTTCCACAAGAACACTGACGATCTCATGTAAGTTCTTGCGGAAATGCTATGCTGCTCCCTTTCAGGCAAAAGCCCTCTTGCGCAAATGCTTTTGCGGAAAAGTGTCCGTGCCAATCTAGACACTCTTTTCCGCAAATGCTTTTAACGGAAAAACATTTCGGTTTGCGGAAAATCATGCCAGTCTAGATGTAGCCAATTTAGTCTACAGAGGAGTTGTCCCAGTATATTTACTGGAATCGATTGAATGAAAGTACAGTTGAATGAATGTTGATCATTGCTAATTGTAAAAGAATTAAGAGAATGGTAATCTCTGGTATTCCTTTTTGTGTAGCAGATTTCTGGGTTAGCAGTGAGATGCTCATGATCAGCACGAATCTTTATATAACACTCAAATGGATTTTCAGCCATGCTGTATCTTCTGTGTGAATACTGTTGCAGTGCAAAAGGTTGTAAATCTAGTGCTGGACCAGAGGTTAGAAGGCATGGTGGGGGACTGGCCAGATAACTGTTCCACTCTGTTGACCCCTAGCTCCCAGAATAATGCTTTGGGACCCCCATCAGCCCTGTGCAATTTACAGCAGCCCAGAAGCTACTTTATATTGTGTTGGGGTATTGAGTCGGCTGCAGAATGGGCGTACTGTTAGTTGGCATAAAACCTCCACTTCTGAATGAATCACGGCTTGGCTGAATCCTGGTTAATTTAAACTTGCCTGTTCAGTGGCACTCACTTCTGTGAGATTTGATTCAGGCAAATAACTTTAGCAAGGATTTTTGTTCTTAACTTCTCTTGGAGCAAGCAGCTGGCATGGCCCATTGTCAGAGACAGGACACCAGCTAGATGGTTCTTTTCAATCATGGCAGGTCTTAGGTTTTAAATAGATAAGAGCTGTCAAAAGCAACCTAATCTTTAATAAATCATTTCCAAGCTTTGCCAATGAGAACTTAGCAGTGAGGTTAATTTCTTTTTCTCCTTTGATTGCTGTTATCCTGCTCTTGATTGTTCTAAACACAAGGACATTTAATTAGTTTAGCATGTTTATTTCTTCTTCAGGAGATAGGTAATTCATTAATTTGTCACTGCAAACATGCCTCAGAGGAGTTTTGTGTTTTCTAAAGTATAGTACTTTTCAGGGAGGAAGGGTGGGGGGAGAGGAGAATAGCTGAGGATGCTGTTTTAGTGAATCCTATTAACAGTATGATTAACAGTATTTGCCTAGTTAGATGTGACCTATATTCAGAAAGATCTGTGAAAAATACTCACTGGATTCTAAAGTTGTTTTTTTTTGACCCAGTCCTCTACCTTTATGCAGACATAAACAATGAGAATTGGTTCATAGGATTTCTAAATACTTGGAATGGGAGTTAGGTGTGTGTATCACAAGATCCCCACTCCTCTGCACCCAGTTGAGTCAACCTGATGTCTTGGCTGAAAGTTGGTGTGGCAGCTCCAAGATCAGGAGCCAACCTGATCTCTCCTGTGCTCTCTTTCCTGGGTGACTGGAGGCTGAAACACACAGCTGAGGTCAATCAGCCATGCTCCAAAGAGCATGATTGGTATCATCCCACTAAAAGAGCTGGATGGGCTGCAAGGGGGTCAGAGCTTCATCAGGAGGTGAGTGTGTCTTATTATTAGATGGAAATACACCAAGTTTGGATGGTGATTGCCACAATATGCATGCGTGTGCTGTCTACATGAGTTCAGACACAGACAAAGGACAGAAAGCATTACTGATCTGGTACTTACTTCTCCATATCTGTGTCTGCCTCCACAAATATGAAACATACATACATATTCTTGTGGGTACTTTTAGAACCTGGTGTATCTCACTCTAAGACACACTCATCTTTTGATTGAGCTAGGACCTCCAACCCTGTTAATCACCCAGCACTTGGCAGGATGATGTCAATTGCTCCACTTAGAGAGCATGGCTGTCTTAGTGCTGTCTGTCTGTCAGTACTTGGTCCCTCAAGTTTCTAAATCTGGGCTCTTTAACATGCTTGTCAAGTTCACAGGTACAGAATTCCAGGTATGCTGTAGTTTAGATTAAAGACTGGTTACTGTTAGATAAAATGTGTCACTTCTCTAGTAAGCAATTTCCCTTAGGGGATTAAAATAATTGTATCTCATAAACTGAGTCTTTTTCTAGTGTGATAAAAACCCTGATTCTTGCTGTACACCTTGAATATATTTACTCCTTGGTTCAGGGAGGGGTCAGTGCTGGTGCGTGAGATGAGAGTGGGAGGATCCCACATCAGGGAGAAAAAATGGGAAATGATTGTTTGTTTTTTTAAATTACAAGGCAGGGTT